ATTTCGGCTATTCTGTACAAAAAACCCTGCGCCCTTCTGTACACTTTTGTACATGTTGGAGAAGATGCGCCCAAGCTTCTGAATTGCAGAAAAATATTATTCTCACCCCTTACCTCTTCCCAACATTTTTTTTTTGTCCATACGACGTCTTATTTATATGCGGAATAACCCCATACTGCAGTTTTTTTTTCTCTCTCCATTAGCTTTAGAAGGAGAAGAACCGTGTCTTCGTTTAGCAGTGCATATGAGCTTTTTCGCACACCGAAGCGACGAGGTTTGTCGGCTTCGCTACCGCCTTGAGGCAATCATATTTGATTGATTGATATGCGGGGTTTAACGTCCCAAAACCACCATATGATTATGAGATACGCCGTAGTGGAAGGCTCCGGAAATTTCGACCACCTGGGGTTCTTGAACGTGCACCCAAATCTGAGTACACGGGCCTACAATATTTCCGCCTCCATGGGAATTGCAGCTGCCGCAGCCGGGATTCGATCCCGCGACCTGCGGGTCAGCAGCCGAGTACCTTAGCCACCTGACCCCCTCGGCGGGGCGAGGCGATCATATCGCACGCGGAAGAGATCGGGCATGACGAGTACGCAAATTTTGTCTAATACCGCGCGTGAGCAGGACGATACAATTCCACGTTTATCAATTTTAGAATGCAGTGATGCGAAATTCAAGATGGATTTTGTGTAGCAAGTACAATACTGCCAACACGCGGGATCCGCGTTGTTGAAAAGTGACATGGTATCCCTCCTGTGAAAGTGAATAAAAAAGAAAACAATATCGCGGGATATGGTGGTTATTGCGTATATACATAAGGCGTCGCATGGACTATAGAGAAAGAGAAGAGGAAGGCCGGGGTGATAACCAGATATTGGCATCCGATTGGCTGCGCCGCATGAATTAAAAAAAAAATGTGAGGATGCAGTATGGGGGCGCGTGATCTTTTCTGCACTTCAAAAGCTTGGGCACATGTGCTCCATCGCGCACCGAAGGACGCAAGGTTCTCTGGCGAGTTGTGGAAATAGTAGTGGAAAATGCGCTAATGCTTTTGTAAGGTGCTGTTATGTAAAAAAATGTTTTGTAAATGCATATACATCGGCCATACCTGTCGATGCATTAACACCCGCTATCGAGAACATATTCATTGAACAGCACGTCTTTATCTCATCTTGCCTCCCATTGTCATATATGTAAGTGTAAACGACTGTTAAAAAGCGCTAAAGTTTTGTTTCGTCACCAGCATCAGCTAGACCACGCGAGAAATCTCGGAGGCATATCACATCACAAAGAACGCCGCCATATGCAGGTGTAAGTCAGCCATCTATATGATTCCATGACAAGGAATTCAATTTTATTGGCAGACACTCAGCACGTGCCTTGGGTGTTGGCCTGTAACTTTTTGTGACATACGCGAAGTGGTGTTTGTATCTTGTACTTACGTTCGGTCGCCTAATCAAAATCAGTTGTGAGTGAGCTCTTGTTCTTTTTTCGTGATCCCACATTGGTTTATTTTCGCTCAATGTTTCACTTGATTTTAAAACAAGTTTAGCAGCTTTCCTATGAAGACAGCTACCATTTGGACAATTTTTTACAGATGCATCGACTGCAAGAACGAATGATGGATATCTCAGATACGAATGAAATATGAGGTTGATATGTTGTGCAGATGACACGTGTGCGTTGCACGCTGGCATAGAAGTTTTTTTCTTCTTTAGTGCTATTTCATTCACAGCGAGGTAAAATAGGCAAAGTATTGAGCACGCGAATAGTTCCATGCGAGATGGTTTGCGATATAGCCATGGCTGGACATTTGAATAGGGCCGCGCGCATGGTGAGCAAAAGAAAGTGCTGCCGGAGGGGGGGGGGGGGGCTTATTTTGGGAGGCCGAGAGGGGATGTGATAATGACGGAGGCAATAAAGTGAGGTCATCTCGTAAGCGATAGTGGCGTTTATATAGCGTTTTGCAAATGGATTTTCTGGGATATTTATACTATGCATATTGTAAAACCTGCCGCAGCCGCGGGTAGCGCCTCTACTGTTACAACAGACTTAAGCCAGGCTTATTAGTGAACTGGGACACGGATTCTTCCTGCTTTATCTTTGCGTATGAGATAACCCGAGTTACAATTTATATAGGCACTTCAGAACAAGCCATATACGGTTAGTGCCCCTGGTTTTTTGCATGCAACTAGTAACCAGAATATGTACCCTATATGAACAAAATTTGGCTCAAAATTTTGACGTTGTCTTATTCAAACGTCGTTGATGTCGGACATACAAAATGCCACGGAAATGGGAAATTGACGGAAGTCGACTGATCTTCAAAACGTGACGAGTAAACGAATCTACGCAGTCCTTTTTATTCTCTTCTCATTTCATGGTAACTGTGAGCGATTGTGCGCAAGGCCATGTAATACATAAGGTGCCTTTACTGTGGATTCTTTCTTGCATTTTGCGTTGTCTCATTCTCCTACACAGGGAAAGCGGCGATGAGTTGCACAACAGGTTTGCTTTGTTTGTGAACCTGGCTTGGCTCCATTATTCTTGCGATGTTTGTAGTTTCTGGTAGCCTATCAGTGATCCTTGTTCATGAATGGAAATGGTCACCACAGCATCATCATGAAGTATGAATGTGAATGTTTACATTTTTTGCTGGTTGTCATCACGTTACTGCTAGAAAGTCGGCGGTTTTTTGCATTAATGAAGTAATGTACCAATACTTTTACTCTACCATATGGAAATATTGAGTGCGTACAATTGACGTCTGGCAGTTTTATTAGATTAATCTAGTCGCCAGACGCGCTTATAAGACGCTTTTTCTAAGCACAAGTTGGAATTCACAAAAAGACACATATTATAACAGGGTGCAATCCATGATGATGATGACTATTAGGGAACTTTATTTTGGTCAAGCGGAGGGGTTAGTTTGAACATTAATCTGTGGGTGAGTTTTAACATTTATAAGTGGGCACAACTCAGACGTGGGAAGCTACAAAAGCTGCAGCTCCAAATTATCGCTTGGAAGATGAGCTCTTGTGTCCGTGTTCGGACGCCCTGTCTCCTTAATATGAGTACTTGCAAACTAGCTCAGCTGTCTGTTGTTATAATCCTCTGGATTCTCCTTGCACTCTTCATTTTCCTTTTGTCTTTTTGTCCCTGAAAGAAATGCATTCGGGCGTGTCATTTACTGCAAGTATTTCTTGAGGACTGTTGCCAAAGAGGGCAACAGTGCATTATTTCAATTGACATTTTGAAGTCCGATCATTGGCCCGCTTTCTTCCTTTCTGGCTGTAGTGAATGGCAGCCACCTTACATTGCATTTCTTAAGAGTATACTTGTTTTTTGGCTGTTGTTGGTCAAACGTTGCGTTAAAACGAGGGGCGTGAGTAAGGGAAACATAAACAGAAAAAAAGTGATCGTTCAGGTTTTTTAGTTTTTAAATGCAAAGCATTTCTTATCGAACTTCGGCGAATGTGAGCGTATCTATGGATGGATAGATGGATAGATCATGCATTGTTGGTCCATCCATCCATCCATCCATCCATCCATCCATCCATCCATCCATCCATCCATCCATCCATCCATCCATCCATCCATCCATCCATCCATCCATCCATCCATCCATCCATCCATCCATCCGTCCGTCCGTCCATCCATCCATCCATCCATCCATCCATCCATCCATCCATCCATCCATCCATCCATCCATCCATCCATCCATCCATCCGTCCATCCATCCATCCGTCCGTCCGTCCGTCCGTCCGTCCGCCTACGACTTTTAGCTCTCCTGGCCGTTTTGATAATCGTATCGATACCAAAATTGGCATGGCATAATGTGACTGTATGACAAGCATCGGTGACTAGTCATAACAAAAAAACTATCACATGGATGTCATGAATTTCATGACTTACATTTCGTAGTCCTGCTGATCTTGCGGTGGTTTCGTTCAAATTACATAGTGCAAAACTGGTGTATGGTATGACATGATTGCATGGTGAACATAAGTGACAGACCCTAACGTTGAAATCATCTCATGCATGTCAAGTAATTCATAAGTACACGCCAAGCTCATGGTGTGCTTGCGGTCGTTTCGTTAGTTTCACATATACAAAACTTGATATTACGAGACGTGAATGGATGACGAAAGTGTATCACTGGTGCAAACATGATAATCATGAAATGCGTGTCATGAAATAACATCACTACCTGCCACGCTTAAGAGGCGCTCGCGGCCGTTTTGCTCGCTTCACATATACCAAATTTGGTATTACGTGACTTTAACGAATGACGAAGGTAAATGACACGTCCAAACATGATAATCATGTCATTCGTGTCCTGTAAATCATTACTACATGCTACGCTCATAGTGCGCTCGCGGTCGTTTTGCTAGCTTTCAAATACCAAATTTAGTGTTACGTGACGTCAATGGATGGCGAGGTATTTGACTGGTTCAAACATGATAATGGTGACATGCGTGTCATGTAAGAACATGAATATGTGTGCGCTCGCGGTCGTTTCGCTAGCTTCACAAATACAATATTTGGTTTTACGTGACGTGAGTGGACGATGAAGGTAAATGACACGTCCAAACGTATTATTCATGACATGCGTGTCACGTAAACATGACTTCAGCTACGCTCATAGCCCGCTCGCAGCAGTTTCGCTACCTCCACATATAACAAATTTGGTATCACCTGACATTCATAGACGACGAAGGTAAATGACACGTCCAAACATGATAATCATGACATAGAATTGATGTACGGCATAATTTAGGTCCGCCTCGTGACGTTGTGCTGATGTTGAAAGTGACATATCAACCTTCCTCATACGTGCTTCGTGTATCATCGATTTTCACTGTACGTGGGATATGCTAACTTTTGTTTGTATTTTTTGCCCTTCTAATTATTCTGTCCACGCATAGATGGGATATTTGCCAGAAAACAGTTACTATTTAATCACAACGATGCTCCTGTTTTTTTTTTTTCAGACGTTTGCGCAGCGTACAATTGGTGTCGTAGCATGGATCATGCCGGTGTTTGTCAGCTTGTCAACCTTCGGAGGCCTGAACGGAATCATGTTTACTATTGCAAGGTGAGTACCGGTATCAATAGCGTGAAAGGCTAAGAAACGACGAGTAGCACGGTGAAACGAGGCGCGCTAAAAACCAAACAATAATTAAGAGAAGGTAAAAAGACAATGTGTGGCTTTCGGTTTGCATATTTTCTTTTTTTTCATATCGAATCCAATTTTGTTATGTCACATAAAGTGTACATTACTTCTGTAACTCGTATTGGAGTAATTGTTTCCCCTGCGAGGACTTGTATATTTCAAATGCTTATTTTCGGACTTAGTTGGAAGTGACAAAGAGCAAAAATGCCATAGCTCTCGGAAATGCTCTGTGGCGCATGTTCCAGATGGTAGCATTTGTCGCGTCACCGCCGCTTTCGCCACATTTGCCTACTGCTTGTAACAGAAGAATTGAACGAAAGCACCGTATCTTCTATCTAAACCTTGTATTTAGTACCGAATTCTAGTTTCTACACAAAACATGAAAAAAAAAAAACTCCCAAGCATTTCCACCAGGGTGAACATGGTTAAGTGAGAATGGACGGGGTGATGCTATGCTAGTTAAAATACGTTGGCATTCGCCAGTGAGTTAACGTAAACTCCTCCGTGGGATCACATTGCGATTCCCAGGAACCATTAGACCCTCTCGGGAAATCTTGGTCGGGAAATCTTGGTGAGTTTACGCGTATATGTGAGAGTGAATTCGCACTATAATGATGTTTATGTCCGCGGCCCGCTTGCGCACGGCATCACGGGCCCTTCGCCGCGCTGCCTTGTCTCCAACCGGCGTGACATCTTCAACGACGCGTGCAGTGCTCGCATACGATTGCGTTTGTATTCGTTGTTGGAGGCATCGCAGTCGAGGTTGATGCCTGCGATGGATCCATACCTATGACGACTTGCCGATCTCGAGCAAGTCGTGGCTGCGCGGGCGCGCGCAGTTACGGAGCGGAGGGCGGAGCGCGCGCAATCACGTGGTGTGTGACGTCGCTGCGCCGTTGCTACAGACGCTCCTCTCCGCTCCTCGCGCCGTTGCTAGGGGAGAGGAGGAGGTGCACCGTGGACGGCGGATTCAGGGTCGCTTATAAAGTGCATTCGCACTAAAAAGATAGTTAGGCCGTTTCAAGCCGTGGCTTTCAGGATATATTTTGGCAGAACCCGAATAAGTGCACACCCCGCGGTAGTGGTATAGCCATGGATTCGCCTGGCTCGGCAAGACTGAGATATGCTACACGCCTATGCGCCGCTGCTGCACCATCTGCTAATTCTCGTCTCCTCGAAAAGATTAACTCGTAGCAAGCTCTTGAGGATTGCATCCTGTGTAGAAGCTGTGAGTCGGTTGTAAAAACAGAGTACTATTTGTTGATTGCCTCGATGAGAAACACCACAGGCTCGCCCCACCGCGGTGGTCTTGTGGCTAAGGTACTCGGCTGCAGACCTGCGGGTCGCGGGACCGAATCTCAGCTGTGGAGCCTGCGTTTTCGACGGAGGCGAAAATGCTGTAGGCCCGTGTGCTCAGAATTGGGTGCTTATTAAAAACCCCAAGTGGTTGAAATTTCCGGAGCCCGCCATTACGGCGTCTCTCATAATCATATGGTAGTTTTGAGACGTTAAACCTCCCGTATCATTATCACAAACACCACCGGCTCCTTGGCCACCATTTTAAATTTTCGGCTTGACCTTTAAATCGCTAAGCGCAAGTAAGTGGGCTAGTTATTTCTGAACAACATTATGATACTTCTTCCCGTGCACAAAGAACGACTGAATTGCATTGCACAGGAACAGATTTTTTTACGGGAAGGGGGGGGGGGGGGGCGAGGCGAAGCCGCTAGTGCTCGTATAATCTATAAAAGAACATGTACCAGGCTGCGCCTATCAAATGGGACAAAACCACACGTAGCTAAAGATTTAGAGCTCACGCACACACTTGCTCTTGCCTCCCACTCTAGTTGATTCGACAAGGAAATTATCTCTGAGGTAATCTTTGTTATGCTTCCCGAGCACTACATGTGGAGCACTGACGCAAATGGCTTTTTCATTGTCGATATCAAGCGCAAAATAATGTCCCGTGCTTTCTGAGAGCGGTATTTGCACAATGCGTGTGTTTGTTCACAGGCTTTGGGTGTTGGCTTGTGCGAGCAATGACGAATAAGTTTAGCCAAATGGCCACCACCACCTATAGACTGATTGATATGTGCGGTTCAACGTCCCAAAACCTCCATATGAATATGAAAGATGCTGTAGTGGAGGGCTCCGGAAATTTCGACCGCCTGGAGTTCTTTAACGTGCACCCAAATGTGAGCACATTGGCCTACAACATTTCCGCCTACATCGAAAATGCAGCCGCCGCAGCCGGGATTCGAACCCGCGACTTGCGGGTCAGCAGCCGAGTACCTTAGCCACTAGACCACCTGGGTGGGGCCGTAGAGAAGTTGTATTCCTGCAAATCTTTATTATTATAAAAAGCGTTCATTAATGCAACGGCGTGTTTGGCCCAATAAATATTTATCACAGTAGATGGGGAATGCTGTAAACCGCACCCACTTCAATTTCAATGGGGGCTTTGGCGTGCTTTGTATTGAATGCTTTATATCTGGCGTTTGTAGGATCTACTTCTATTCTACGAGTGCTTTTTGTGCCATGAAAGATGTATCGTAATGCGGTTTACATCACGTGGTTTATACTGTAGTGCAGCCAGAGTATGACTGTCAGCGAAGCGAAGAAGCGTACCGCTTTCACCATAGGCGTGCGAAGGGTTCACCATCACAGAGAGGGGAGGCGAATTTTAATGTTAGCCCCCCCCCCCCCCACCCCATTGTCGGTCAAGCCGAAGTAACATTACTGATGTATTATTTATGGAATACTGTGGGCCTTTTCAGTACTATGCAGGGGAGGGGGTACAAAACGAGGAGACTTCACATATACTTCAGCATTAGGAAAGAAAAAGGAAAATCATCAATACAAAGCAACCATGATGGTTACAAAAAAAAACAATAAATGAACCAGGCACATAAGTATTTCGCCGGATGTTGTGGGTCTCGACATGAAGAGAGCGCCACGCTCTTGGAGTGAACGGATGCAATTGACGCGGCCGGAACGAACCAAAGCAACACACATTTATTGAACTACTTTAAAACGATGATATCGCCAGCAGAATTATTATACATATTGTGATCAACACGCTCAACAACCTTACAAAATATTTCACTACACTCAACAACATAACAAAAAAAAGTGGCCCCGTATCTGCATGTAATCTGCAAATGTCGTCGAAAGACGATATAGTCTTGCGTGTGGAGAGTGTGAACAAAACATTTATATGATGTTGTGCTCAAGAAAATTGGTGAATGTCATATTGGAGGCACTGCATTAAAGTGCCTCGAGCGGGCAGCGGAGGCGAACGAGCGCATCAAGTCACGTGAGACATGAGCGCCATCTGGCAATTTTTTTGGAAAACAAGCCCGTGGCCCTGAGACGGGCGTGCGCGTCCGTCTCAGAGGTGATAAGGTGTAGAACGCATGGCGACGCGTAGGGGCCACTAGCGTGCCTTCTTAGCAAAGCGTTGGAAACACTCGCCTTTCCGTGCAAGCGTTGGATAGTCAGCGCCGCGTGATAAGCGCTACGGTCCTTAGAATTACCTATGTATGCCTTTTCTAGTAAATGATCAACATGCAGAATACATATGTGTTGTTATGGTGCCTCAGATATGCGCAATAATTGCTTTTTGATTGACAATCGCACACGTATGAACGCTGATTCTTGAGCAACATTGGTGGGCGCTGCGGATGGGGTCGGCCGTTCGGGGTATCGGCTGGTGATGTTTAAAGTACCCGGTCCGCGGCAACGGTGGACAAACAGACAAATGTACAGACAGACAGACCAAAGTTTTTGCGTCGAAGGTCCCCAAGAAATACTATCGTCTAACACATAAGGAGGCTTTGCCAATGCTTGGCTACACGGAGTCAGGAGAGGGCGGAGGGCGAGCCGGTCGGCCAGAGCTGCGCTGTCGTCGGAGATCGCGGTGGCACAACCGTTCGGCACGGAATTCATCGAGCGAGTCTTCGCCGAGTGGTTACTCCGTCCTCTGACTCCTTTGACCGTGTCCCCATCTTTCTCTATTTTATCTTTACTTCTTGTTTTATCCTTTTTAATCCCTATTTATTCCCTTCCTCGTGAGCCACTGTTGAGGTGTCGCACTCTGATACAGACAGTTACGGGGCTCACTTTCATCTTCTTTTCTCTCATTTGAGGATCTATCCCCCCCCCCCCCCCCCCACGCTTGGCTCACCACGCGGGCCTACGGTAGACGACCCGCGGTGCCGTCCACCGCAGACTCACCGCTAGAGAGAACCGTTCGCCCCAACCGCCACCCTCCAAAGAGGACCGCTTCTTTCTCATCTTCCGCCCTTAGGCTTACCGCCAGGTGTCACTGCCGGCGCAACCGTTCTCACCATGATGATGATAGCGGTGATGAACGCTCGCGAGCACAACGCCACATACGGCTTGGTAGTTGTGAACCAGAAATGCGGCCAATGCGCAAAACACATGCGCCACGAGGAGCAAATGACTTTACAGGGGTGTTAGCACCCCACCCCCTCACAGTGTAAAAAAATAAAAACTAAAGTAACGTACATGATAACACTGGGCGATAACATAAAAATACGCACAGAAGAAAAACTGTTGAACACGTGTAAAAAGTTGTAAGTACATGAGACAATTTGTTTTTTTGGCCTTTGTTTGTGCTCCGATACGAGAGAATCTACATTGCAATACCTCTAAATGAGATTCCGCCAGCGGTGAAAGTGCATCATTCCACACGCTCTAAAGTGGATGAAAAAAAATGAAAATCAAGTTATGACATATTTCTCACAATCACGTGCCTTGGCTCCATGTATGGCCTTCCAGGAGTAACGATGTGAAGTAAACGGCTTTTTGAACGCAATATCAGGTACCTTCTCTTACAAAATAAGATTAAGAATTCGGCCGCGATTATCGCCGGAGACCTGCGTGGCCATAATCTTGCTCCTTAAAGAATGACGGTACAGGTAATACATATATGGGGAGAATGACTTTGCGCCCTGCACGTGTGATTAGTTCAGTTCTTTGCGACTCCAGTTTCGCGACCTAAAAATCTAGCTGCAAACGGCTGATGCAAAGTAGTCGCATTGCGATGAACTTGGTCGTGTGATCGGTGCTTGTCGTAAGTGTGAACGAGCCTTTAGGCGGCGCACAGAGTGGATTTCATTGAAATTTTTACGTTTTTGCCGTCTTCGAGCTCTATATTGTGAACGAAGCCTCACAGACTGATTTTTGGTGCATTACTTTGGTAGCGGAGTTAACTGAGGCAGTACTTATTTTATGATCTCTTCTAGTATTAACTTTTTCCCAGCAGAACCGCCCCGCTGCGGTGATATTGGCTCAGGTACTCGGCTGCTAACCCGCAGGTCGCGGGATCGAATTTCGGCTGTGGTGGCTGCATTTTCGATGGAGTCGAAAATGCTGTAGGTCCGTGTGCTCAGATTTGGGTGCACCTTAAAGAACCCCAAATGTTTGAAATTTTCGGAGCCCTCCACTACGGTGTTTCTCATAATCATATCGTGGTTTTGGGACTTTCAACCCCACATATTAATCATCAGCAGAACTGGTGGAAATGAATGCAGTGGAATATCATATTAAGATTGGCCTGTGTTTTTCACTGTGTATGCCTTTCAGGAGGCAGATATAACCAGTTCAACATCACTGTGCATATCGTTTTGTTTCAGAAAAAAAGGAAAGAAAAAAGAGAAAGAATATTTTTGCGGGTGTGCTCTGTTTTTTATTTTATACTGTGAATCAAGGCGGTAACTAGGGGCGAGTTCAGGGGGTGACACCCCCCGAAATATTTTAATGCTTTAGCTTGTCGGGTGATCCCATAGTATTTACACACCTCCACACCGACTTGATTGATTGATTGATATGTGGGGTTTAACGTCCCAAAACCACTTCATGATTATGAGAGACGCCGTAGTGGAGGGCTCCGGAAATTTCGACCACCTGGGGTTCTTTAACGTGCACCCAAATCTGAGCACACGGGCCTACAACATTTCCGCCTCCATCGGAAATGCAGCCGCCGCAGCCGGGATTCGAACCCGCGCCATGCGGGTCAGCAGCCGAGTACCTTAGCCACTAGACCACCGCGGCGGGGCACCACACCGACTTCCAGCTGCCAAGGATAGACGTTCTACGCATACCCCCCCCCCCCCCCTAAAAATATCTTGTGTACAGCCTTCTGTGTACTGATTTTACACACGCGTTTATACTTTTTCAGATTATTCTTTATTGGTGCTTTGGAGGGGCACCTTCCCATGATATTTGGGATGATACACACGACCAAGCTAACCCCGACTCCGCCTCTTCTGTTATCTGTAAGTTGCTCATTTTCCTCCTTGCTTGCAGAAGTATGAGTGCGATTTGATGACATTGAAATTGTTTAAACTTTTTCAAATCTGCGATTTCCATAGGCAGGAATACTGGCACCACAGCCTGTGGGAACGGGGAAAAAAGAATACATTTATGTGCAGGTATTATAGGAGAGGGTGCGGGGAAAATGGACAGACAAGAAACGTTGTAAGGTATTGCACTCACTAACTCACTCACTTACTCACTAAATCAATCAATCAATCAATCAATCGATCAATCAATCAGTGAATCAATCACCCGTAATATACAGTAAAGGTGATCAACTGGGGAACACTGATTGGTGGGACAACCTCCAGAAACAGGAGAGATGTGAGGAAGACCTAGATAATATATATATTCCGGGTGCCTCCGCTTATATTGTTTCGCTACTGCAGCCGTTGAAGGCCGTCTATAAACAACAGTGACGCAACCATCTGCAGATCGTTTGCCGAACATTAGAAGATGGTTGTTTTGTTGACGTCAAGAGAAATTCTCCGCCGCAAAGAGGAGGGGTTCTTCGCTTTACCTCCCTCTTCCTGCTCGGTGCTTCTACCTTACCGAGTCCCTCCGCTTCTGGCGTCGCGTATTGTTTTTGCGCAGGAGTATAAGGTGATGATCAAGTTCTGTGCGTAGGTCTAAAGACAAAGCCCCTCCCGACCGTGGCTGTCCGCTGATTTCACTGGCCGAGTCAGACAGTGAAACGACTTCGCACCGAATCACGCCGATATCAGAAAAACTGATAAAAGCATGTTAAACATAGGTTATTATTGCTGAAAATAAACGCTCAAAATAGAAAACGTCATTTTAGTGTACAATGCCACGATCGTATACATGCGACATACCAAGTTAGTTGGCTATTTGCCATTTCAAGTGCAAATGATTAGTATTCGTAGTGCTTGAGGAAAGTTGTACTACACTAAGTGAAATGCTGTCCTATGACCTTGAGGACCAATGATTTTATTGCCTTATAGGCTATAATGGTCTTCCTTGCAAACTGGCGATTGCTGAAGTACTGTAGTCTTTTTGTGGAGCTGACTACTACACTCTAAAAAAAAATATCAAGTAAAAAGGGTGTAGTTTTGCCCCACGACAATAATCTTTTATTATCAGGCTTGCTGGCGCTTCTTTTCTTGAGAATCAGAAAAATCGAATGACATGAAAGTGTCGGGCGCAGGACGATGGTTCAAGGAAAGGAAGGCAAGATAGATGATGATTATATTGTTGTGGGACGAAAAGATGGCCTCTTTACTCGATATTTTTATTGAGTGTAGCTTTTTGATATCGCGCTCTAAATGCTTTGGATATAAACAGGTCGCAATCCCCTGAATCTTATTTATTTTATTTATTCATTTGAAGATATATACTTCTGACTCTTATTAGAGTGTTCGCAGAGTGAGTTACAAGAACGTGTAACTCACTCAAGTGTGTGCAGGTGAACTTGTTAAGCTAAACATGATATAGCATAAAAGGTACGAAAACAAGATGAAGCATGCAGAGAAGATAAACACAACTCGCTGAAGGGAAACATAAAGAAAAAGGCATCAAATATGAAGCAAGGGACTTTGAAGGATCAACTGGCAAGCAGAGATTCAATCATTTCTATACTGTCGGTTTCAATGGTGGTTTCGTCTAGGGCATTCCACTCAACGATCGTTCTTGGAAGGAAATAATGGTTTTAAACAGTCACAGTTTCACTGCAAGGGCGAAGCAATGAATGGGATAGCAACAACCTAGAATATAATTCTGAGAACGTCTAGCAGGTCGATATGGGCAGCGCGCTGGTCATGCACAAATGATGCACGAAAACAACACGCACAATAGGAGAGATAACTTACAACGTTTAAAGCGCATCGCTTAACAGGCTGTTTAAAAAAAAAAGACACACGAAACGTACTTACAGGTACAGATATGAGTGCGGACTGTCGAGTGTCCCAGTTGTTACTTCGCTGTGTTGGGAAAAGCGCGCTCTTTTCGCAAACTGGGCCTGCCCAGCGAGCAAAGTGATCTTTGTGCGCCTAGAAACTAAACGCAATACTTCCCCTGAAAACCCTACACATTATTCTCCCCACCGAAGGACAAGCGCGCGCACACAAGCACCTAATCCCGCCGCCCCCATCGGCGGGGCAAAGTACGTGTGGGAGATAAGCGCGCGTTGGCGCATAGTGACGAGCAGAGGGCAAAGTGCGGGCGGCAGTTTTTCAAAATGGTTGATTGGGCGAGTTGGTGATACATGACTAATTATGAAATGGAAGCGCACAACGTAGAAGCAGACGGAAAGACAGGGACAAGCGCTATGTCCCTGTCTTTCCGTCTGCTTCTACGTTGTGCGCTTCCATTTCATAATTAGGCAGTTTTTCTTTCTTCAGTTTTCATATATTAGAAACGTATACATATATGGTTCATGATGGCGGCGTTGGTGGCCACGGCAAAAACCAGCCGGGATAGTTCGTATAACTGCTATCGCAATAAAACATTATTAGCCTACTGATAAGAAGCAATTTAAAAAGTATGTCGTCCTTTATAGTATGATAAGCTGTTGAAAAAGGCTTATGATTCGATATACTGCTGTTGAACGGTCCTTAAAATATTTCGAACATGAGAGTAATCGTGCGGTTTTTATTTCTCTCCGCGGGGTGTGCCTTAGATTAGCTTCCGCCACAAAACTTGAGATCGAGATCCTGTCATTGGGATTAAAATACTTTACTGCTTTCTTCTGGACGCTTTCTAAATTATTAATATAAATTTTGAAGGGTCTTATTATGTGTAAATGTAGCAAAATGTAGTAGTAGTTGTAATATACTTTTATTCAGCCGCAATAAACAGGCAAAACTGTGGCTGAATAAAAGTCTATTACTACTACTACATTTTACTAAGTATTGTCATGAATTGTAAGGCTGAATATCGAGTTGTTAAGAATAAGCTTGGCTTTACATATAAAATGGATATTTGTAGTGGAATCGAAAGTACCTTAGTTGAATTCACATATTGCAAGTATATGTGAGATGACTGGAAGTTTGATAATATAAAATGACGTGGTGTTTTAAGAAATGCACTTGCTGTCGAGGGATACACTACATTTTTTGAACAAGATAAGGAAGCGTCATGTAAAACAAAATGGTGTGCCGAACGAAGCCTATCCGCAACCCAGAAAACGCTACCTTTGGAATTTGAAAACATGTTTAGCAGCTCAGAATGTAGACGTGCAACCCGCATAAAACCTAGCGCAGGTGGTCTTATCGCGGTGGTGCTCTACAATTAATATATAAACCGCGACTCTAAACGATGCATTCTTATATCATTGCAAGTTTCCGGGATCAATCTCCCTCTTGACAGCAGGTATTACTATTCCTAGAGAATAACTATTTGCTCTTTAGCACAAATCAGAAGCACAATTAGGTTGTCCTACTTAAGTTGTCTCTCAATTGAAAGATCAAGCAGGCGTTCAACCCGCTCACAATGATTTGCCCAATAGAATCCTTTAATCAACGAGAATAAAATATCCGAAAATGTGGAGGCCTAGTTCCCAAACTTAATTACTTCGAACAAAAATAGGCGTTCCGTTTGATCATTTACACATCCATAAATAACATCTTAAATTAGCGCTGAGCAGGTATATAGGCATTTCTGCAGTATATTTTCGGTATAGTAGTCGAAAAATACTGTCGGCATTTGTTTGTTCATGATGCACTATCACCAGATTTGACCTCCTTTCTACTATAGAATACTTTTCCGTAAAGTCCTAAAATAGTAGTCAGCTTGCATATATAGTCTGTAAATGTGTGGACTATCATAATTTTAGTGCAATGGAGCGTCGCAAATACTGACTTTACCATGCAGTTGTTTCTCGACACACTGCATGCTTGTCATGCATATCAAATGTGTAATGAGAAACTTTGATACAGTGTGCTGTGGCTCTGCTGATGTTTACGACGAGCGACATCTTCGTCCTCATCAACTATTTGAGCTTCAACCAGTGGCTTTGGGTGGGTGTCTCCATCCTGGGAATGCTCTGGCTGCGTTACAAAAGACCAAACATGCACCGACCGATCAAGGTTTGTGTGCACTCTGCTATTAGGCCTAGTTTTGGACAACTCTCTCTTCATTGCATGTGTTAGGAGTGTGTCGTCTGTCAATTCTCTCTATCTGTGTTCTTCTTAACCTCGGACTGCATTGCGTCTTCATGATTACGCATTCGGGACGCAATGTATATGCTTGGTGCCGAGACTCGGCCTATATATAGTGCGTATTACAACCTTTCCTCAGATTATGCGTATGCCTCCGGCCGGCGGCCACCGCCAATGCTATTATTGCAATGCTGGCGTTAAAATCAGTAAATGTAAATGAACCAATCTTTGTTGATTAGTGAACGAGCACCGATGTCTGCTCAATCATCGAGTGTCCGCTGTGCTGCAAAATGAATTGCGGCAAATCACTGTCACGTGCGCTAAATGCACTCCCCTTTATCTGTGAAAAATTCGTTTCAATTATAATTGATCATTCGATGTATGCTCATGGTTTTCATAAATCAACGAACAAGATGAAAAAGCAGTGTAGATATGTATAATTACTCATCTGTCTCGTTATCATGGGTTGAAGCTTTAACGTCCGACCTAAACGCCAAACCACTAACCATAAGCATTTTAAACCATATGACATGTTATATGTAAATGGATTGGGTTCTTTTGTACTCCCAGCGATTAGCGTATGCCAAGTTTTGCGATTTTTTGGGCATCAAGTCTAAAACTCTAATCCAAAATTAGTCAGGAGTGCAACAGTTTCGTTGTATCCTGTCTGCGATGTTTCGGTGTACTTCTCTACGATGGCCCAGCGATCGATATCTGCGTAGATTAAGAAAAAAAGGCTTCGTACAAATAAATGCTGATGCGCCAAGACGGCCAAAGTATAAATTGCAAACCATATGTCGAAACGTGCCATGGAGTGATGATTAGCGGCGTTACATGGCAATCAGGGCAAGGGTGAACGGATATCTGAACGCACCTACGTTTTATATACCTCGCCAGCAGTACCGCCGTTGAAGGACCTGGTATATTTAGGATATTCCCTATAGCTTTCTAGGCCACCAAACTCACTCAGTCGATTCACTCGGACTCACACTCAGACTCACACTCAGACTCACGTCACGCCGCGAGCCTCAGTCTGAGTAAGTCCGTGGGAGTAATACTCTGGCGGATATGAGCTCGAGTGAGTCTGGCTGAGAAAGCTTTAGTGATTCGGCATCATAGTGAGCGCTAAGCGCTAATGAGCTTCGCATTTTACGACGACTTAGTGTTCTCGTTGTGGGTCAGAGCCGAAAAATGCGCCCTATTGTGAACGTAGGCCTGCTATGTGTGGTGACAGTTGTGATCAGTAGTCGTGTAGCCATCTTAGCGGCTTGTTGAAAAGGTGGCCCTATACCGGCACTCAGAGTAAGCCAGGATTTCCAGTCGCTCCTTGTTGTGTGTATTCTCGTGCCTATTGTTAGCTTACGTTGAATAATAATGATAATAAGTGTTGGGATATTACAGACCAAAACGACGACATTATGATACAGACCGTGGTGAAGGGCTCCGGTAATACCGAACATGTGGCGACCTTCAACGTGTACCTATGCAAATATAAGCACACGTTTCTCTAACATTTCGCCTCAATCGCAATGCGACTGCCGCGGCTGTAATCGAACCCGCGTTTCGGTCAAGCAGCCGAGCACCGCAACTGATGTACGCGTTGAAGCGATAGGCAACGCTATACTTCCGTTCAGCCTTTAGAAACCTGTTGGATGCACGATTTCGAATACCGTCCTGAAAATAACGTTTAGTTATTGACATCTTCAGTTTTATTTGTACTTGTTACTGCGTCAATGTGATTGTCAGTTCGTTTGATATTCATATCAGTATGGCTATAGGAATTACACATTGGCTGGCTTAAATATATATTGGCTATAAGGACTGAAAATGTGCCTTCCTGCTCATCTATCGGCTCTACATAGCTTTTATAAGTGAGTCATGCAATAAACGGAGCTTTGAACCACGTATGCCTTTTGCAATAGAGTAAATGTATGCGGGGTGTTAATTATTTTTTTTCCCACTATATCGTCTTTTAGGTTCCCCTTATCTTCCCTATTGTGTTCCTGGCCATGTGCACATTCCTTACGTTCATGCCATTGTATGCAAGCCCCACGGAGACTGGGATGGGCCTTGTGATTCTAATTACTGGTATCCCTGCCTATTATATCTTCGTCATTTGGAGCCCGAAGAACAAAGTGATCCGAAAGTTCTCTGGTAAGAACAGCTTGGGCCATTGTCAGCTAACATTTTGTACTTAGAAACAATACAAATGTTAACCACAAATAGAAGTGTGTAGGCTCAGTGATCACTGAAAATACTTCAAAGTGTAAGCTGTTCACCGAGTTAACTTGTGACTGCGTAGATATTGCAACTAGGCGGCTACAGACGGCGATACATAAAACAGGGCCTTTGAAACCAAAAGCGCTGCGGCCAATCAAGCCCTACACCTGTCCAAGAAATCGGTGGTGACATACTAGAGGTTGTTTGTCTCTCTGCTAGGCTTGTGCATGCCTGTGAGCTCGAACGTCATAATCATCGAGAAACAATTCTCATCAAGTAAACTTATTTAACTGAACTCGCTTCATCGGCACATAGCGTACAACTGCGTAGAAGTATTTTATCATTTGTCATTTTTAAAGCGTGCAGCACTGAAAAAGGGACCAACCACTGAGAGCTCTGACTTCCAGCTAAATAATTTGCACCGGATTATTTGTTTTAATCATTCAGAGTCTTTTACGTAAGCCACCGTGCGCACGCATTCCGGGTATATGTTTCTCGTACTTCCTATTTAGCAGCATGAAGATGATGGAGCTAGCAACCGCTGAACGCTCGCTATTTGGACGCATAAGCAGCAGCGTTGTCTCTAGGGTTGTGACGACGCGCACTTATGCTTGACGGCTTATGTTTTGGGCACTCTGAGAAGCCGAATTTGTTGTGCTTCAGTTGCTCAAGCAGTTTATTTTCATTTCAGAGCGACTATTTTAAATATTGCACAAAGAGGGATATAAAAGTTATACTGGAAGGGAACGAAGTTAACAAGAAAATAAATATCGATTTTGCTGCGCTGCACTGGGAAAAAAAGTAATGAGAGGCAGAAAGCTAAGAAAAAAAAATCAAATAGAGAGGTAAAAAAAAAGCACGAAGTCTTCATTGCAACACATAGTATACTGATGATGTAAAGATTATTTTTACCGCGCGTGGTTAGTTGTTGCCTTTTACATTTTGAACCATTTGTTTTTAAGCTTCACTCATTGCTCATAATTTTCTTCCTGTTATGAATTAGGGTAGTCCAGCTTATTACGGCTCACGTTTGGATGAGTCTGTCAGTTACTGCCCTTGATAAATATCATGTTCATAGGAACAGTAAAAAAAAAGGTTAGCAGGGATGATCTGAATCATTACGGAGTTGTGCAGTGAGCTTGAATCGTGTCTGTTGAATAAAAAAGAGAATCACCTGGTGTCAACAAACTGGGAGTCGGCACTATGTGTTTTCCACGTGCCTGTCCCGCGTTTAGCGCTTGTCCTTTCAATGATGTCTTAAAAAGCAAGCTTAGAATTGCACTTAAGAACACTAACATGTGTGTTACCTTTTTTTTTTTGTCTTTCAGAATGTCTCACAATAGAGATGCAGAAGTATCTGGAAGTCATACTTCCAGAACAAGAAGAAAAACTCCTGGAAGTTGAATCCTGAAGGTTGCAATCTCGATTTCAAGAACTTAGTTTTAAAGTACCATCCAACTGCCTTGCCACAGTGTGTCCTCATACCGAACCTTTATTGATTCTGTATGAGGACGACGACGTTCAAAAGCAGAGAAATATTGGCACATGTTCATATTTAGCATAGCACTAAAATTCTTGTCGTAGCCAGCATTAGTTAAGGCTGTTATACCGAAAAAAGAATGGCCTACCGTTTGTATAGTGCGTAGAAAGCTTATGCGTGGACATCGGTGACATGGTGAATTGGAGAAAGATTAGCTTAGTTGCTGTTGCAACAAAACAAATTTTCTTTCACTTTTAAGGGGATATATGAAAAAGAGTTATCACGTGTTGAACTCTATTCTATGGCCTCTGCACTGGCTTGGTAGGTATATAACGGCCAGGTTAAGCATTTTTATTTGGCTTTATTCAATAAGAAATAGCTTGAACGTTTATGAAATTTTTGATTTAGCTTTAAAACTACAGCCGAGTATTTCAAAAAAGGGGTCACTGTATTTTTGAATTTCAGGCTGGAGAACTTCCACGGACAGTGAACAGCTGTTAGGCCTATATATGTTTTCGTATATATCGATATCGATCGCTTCTAAAGAACTAATGGAGCCGATGGTTGTGACTCTTAGTCAGCGCCATTCATTTTCATTTCGCTTAGATAACACCACAATTTGTTGCTATGAATGCATCGTTTCATACAGTTGGTGTTGTTGCATGTTTGACGCTTGCATCGACAAGCTTGCACTGTGTATTCGGCCAAATGCCTAGTATGGCTCGCGTGCGAACCATGTCAGTTCTGGTGGTGTGCGAATATCTGTCTGACCACGGGAGCGCGTATAAAAAAGCAACGCTGCGCCTTCTGACGGCTGGCTGCGAAGCTCAAAAGCGCGCTCAGCGTACGCGCGCCCCCCCTTTTTTTTTACCTGCCAGCCTGCTCACTCGGTCCCTTCAACAGCGTGCGCATCGGAACGCTAGAAGTAGCGCAAGGTGTCACTTCGACTGTCAGCGCGTGAATCTTATCACAAAGATCGATTTTTGAGAAACTGATGCAATATTGACGTTTTCGACAGAGTGCAGTGTCGGGGACTAAGGCGGAGAATTCGGCGGGCACCGAGCACTGCCACTACAAATTACGTGTTTTCGTCACGATATCATCGCTTGGTGTTTCCGCCGCGAGAGCAGGAGTGACACCTTGCGCTTCTTCTGGCGTTCCGGTGCACGCGCTGTTGAAGAGTGCGAACGAACGGGCTGGAAGGCAAAAAAAAAAAAAAAACTTCGCCCCGTATCTGCATGTTTCACTGCAAATGTCGAAAGACGATAGTCATGCGTGTGGAGAGAGTGAACAAAACGTTTATTTGATGTTCTGCGCGAGAAAATCGGTGAATTGTATTCTGTAAGCGCTGTGTTAGAGAGTCTCGATACGTGCAGCGAAGGCGAACGAGCGCATCGAGGCGCGTTAGGCACAAGTGCTATTTGGCAGTCATCTTCTAAAACGAGGGAAGGCGTGCGCGCCCGCAGAGAAAGATGCGCGCATGCCTCGGAGGCGATAAGATGTACAACAGAAAGCGCTGGGCAGGTGTCACCACTGTGTAGTCTTAGCAAAACGTTGGAAACACTTGCCTTTTTGAGCATCGCGTCGCACTGTCAGCGCAGCGTGATCAACGCTGCGGTGCTTGAAGAAAAATGACGCGGAAAAACATTCCCGCGCGGAATTGAACGTGCAACCCCTGACGTGAGTGCGAGGCGTTAACCACAGAGCCACTGAGGAGCTCGTCCTTCAACGTTCAGACGGCAAGATATTTGTATCTATTACTTACCGCAGGTGAGTGGCATCTTGGGGGGAGGGGGGGGGACTATTGTGTTTTTGGCATTACCACCAAGATGGCGCAATGAGCGCGCGTCGCTACATCGTGACGACGCGGTGGCGCGCGCTCTCATCTCCCACGCGTATTTTGCCCCGTGGAGAGAAGGTGGGTTTACACTCACTCGTGCAACCTTATCGGGGGGAGGGGGGGAGCTCGTACGTCTTGGCTGGCTTTGGATTTCCACTGGAATGATTCTGTTGTAGTTACCGAACGCACAAAGGTCACTGCAATCGTTGCACAGTCTCCGTTTGCGAAAAGAGCGTGCTTTTCAGACACAGTGAAGTAACAACTGAGACGCTTATACGCCTCAACCTGTACAGGTGAGTACGTTTCGTGCGTCCGTCATTTGTGCGTGAGAAACACGGGCCATGTTTCGATCTGCTTGCCATTCTGAGCGTGACCTTCCAATTTGTGGATATCGTGGTCATTGCTTCGCCTTTGCCGTAAAGCTGTGACTTTTTTAATGAGAGACGGGCGTTTGCGGGATACCCTTGTAGCTTCTGGCGTGTTATTGGTTGGTGATGAAGCTCTGCCACGGTTTCCGTTGCATTTAGCCGTTTTTACGAATGTTGAGTGGCGTCTTGTCGTCACGCTGTCGTCATTTCTTTGTCATACGGTCATCACTGTGATGTGATCGACTCGCTGTTGTGATTTCGCCGCCGCGTATGCCTTTTGGATCACGTTTCAATCGTCGTTATACGACTGTCGTTATCCTCGTCGCGCTATCGCACCGTCTACCCAAACATGAGTCGACCGCAGTGTGTGACAGCATCGTAAAACACTGTTATCAACATCAGCAGCATGCTTTTGAGGTGTTGCACGTGTCCGCTTAATTTCCCAGCTTTAGTGTAATCTTCGACTGCCCCTGCAACTATATTGGTCGGGGGATTCTTGTGACGTCTTTCGGAGTAGACTTTTTCCCCAGCATTCTGTTACACAATTCTAGACGTGATTTGATACGGCTCGATCCAGCCTTTGTACGCTCTTGAACGTGACGTAGATTAAAAGAAAAGCACTGACATAGAGCAATGGAAGGGTGCCTGGAAAAAAAAAAAAAAAAAACGTGCGTGCATGCGCTGCACTGGAAACTCCGCCGATATGCCAACGTCTACGGGCGGCTGTCCGTAGGCGAAAACGAAGCAGTTCCTCTGTCAACTTCCGGTGAGAGATCGTGTATGCTGCCGTCTTTGTTTGTTGTCGCCCGTGGTTCCCACGCGTGCATCGCGTTACCCGAACCAGACGGAATGCTTGCCGGCATTGTCTAAGAGCCGCGCCGGCTATGGCGTTAGACAATAGGTCTGTCACGTACACACATAGGCGAGTGTTATATTAACATGCGCATGAATATATACATGCATGGGTGTTTAGTCTCTTTACCAAATGCACTACAGATATGATACGGTAACTGCAACCGACTATTCTACATCTTGCACAATGTGTGGGGCAAGCAGATGTATTTTTAATTTTGGCACACAAAGCCTAATACTGACAGAAGTCTAAGTTTCGACTAACTTTTAGTGTTGCTTGCTTACAGATAGCCATTGCCCGAAGACTTTGCACGTATTCGAGCTGTCTTGTTTCTATGACATTGTGATTGAGAACTGAGTGCTCCGTTAGTAATTTATCATTGTATAGTTTTTTTACGTTATACACCTATGCTGGAGTCTTTCCAAACCGAAGGTGCAATACAAAACATTGCAGTGCTGCCGTTTTCGCACTTTTTATTCTGCTTGTTAATACTGCCTCTCATGGCATATCTCTCCTCCGAAAGCCTCCCTGCTTCTGTGTGCTGCTATTTTGGAATAGGCTAGCACTCACGAAATATTACAATTCCCACTATTTGATCTAATGCACGGAGTTGTGTTGAAACATTGTTATGGCAGTTGTTCTGGCCCAGGGAGCTAAACGTGCATAATAACTGACAGTGTCCCCTGGGCACACACCTATAATGCCTCGAAGGTGCAAGCAACCCAGTGTGGCTAATCATCATCATCACCGGGTTGCACGTACTGCTGCTGCTGCTGCTTTTGGTGACGATGGTGATGAGTATAATACAGGCCTTTGTAGTTGGCAGGCAGCTTTAAAGCACGCACTCGTTACGCAGTTCACATGACATGACGCCTGGTGCGCTTCAATGCTTTTTACACGCAACATTAGACCTGCTAACGAGACTCAATGCTCGGCGGGACGTCTGTATAGGGTCTTTTACATCCAAAGCTGTTACGAGATCACAACTCTGGTCTCGTGCAGCGCCGTAGTTGTCTGCCACCGCCGCCGGTTTTCGTAACACATCGCGCGAAATTAGAAAAAGAAATCAGTACCAATGACACAGTGGGGCTTAAACCCAGGTCCGCTGGGTGCAAGCCCAGTAATCTACCACTCAGCCACGCTGGTGCTTGGAACTTCTTGCGAATTCGCCTTAGGCAGGCTTGATGTCGGGAAAGGAATCGCGTCACTAAGAGTAATAAAGCGTTTTAAAACAGTGAAAGAACAAGCAGGCATCGCACAATGCGAATAGCGTAACGGGTGGGCCTTCCGATGCTCTAACGTATTACAAGATGCTTAATAAGCTTGTTTTTAATCACTTATTAACTGTGGTGCGTACCCACTTCACGCGTAATTCCTCATCGTCGTCAGCCACTGGATGAACAATCGACATGAAATTCCTCGCAATACCACGCTTCTCAGAAGAATGATGAAAAATAGCATAGCGAATGCTGGCTACTACCCTAAATTTTTGGTATAATAATGTCGTAGTGGGCATCAAGCAAGTGTGCTTGCAGCAGTTATCCAATGAATGTTTAGAAAAGGCTCTGAAAGGCCGCTCCTATAGCTTTCGTTGTGGCTGTGCTGCGCCTTCTGCGCAGGCCTGGCGTCTTTTTTCAAAGCGATTTCACGCATTGGCATGGCTCTGCAGTACAATTCCTGACTGCCATGCAGATTACGCAAATTATATTCCTGTTCGAAGCCGAATTTTCGTCCGATATATGTCAAACTCGTTCAGGTGACGAATTTTTTTTTGTACCTCGTGGCGTGTTTTTCCAGGTCCGATGAGACATTAGGGCTTTAGTCCTAATAACCTTTCGTGGTGCATTGCTCGAAAGCGTAGATTTACATAACTTCGTGTATTTTATGTCGACGTTTTGGAGGGATTCTATACAATAAACAGCTACACCGTGTTCACGGTAATTTGCGTTAGATATAAACCTTGTGTTCACGACAGTTTATTGTCCTCCAGTTCAACATGTTTGTTCCCGGTGTTTTGATGGTGGTTTGTAGCCGGTGTGCCTGGGGTACTTTTTACTCTTTGCTACAGGAGCATAAACGGGCGTTTATAAATGCATTAACAGACACCGTTGCTTGTTATAGAGCAGCACCTAATTTGTCATTCAGAGAGAATACAATGCGATTATTATCGTCGATTTCTGGAAAAAAATATTGCGAGCTTAGCACTAACTAGAATTTACTAATTTTTATTATCGCGGCGTGCCTTTTGACAGGCTTTCTGCAAACTGTGGACAGCTCAGATAGCAGTGCATATATATCAGAGGGGAGTATATTTTTAACGCTGCGTCCGCTCTCAAGGCTAATGAAGCTTTTAATAGTCTTGCATATGAAATATTATGAAATAATGGACGCTCAGGGATAGTGTGCTGATAGTTAGGAGATAGCCACTTATGGTACTTTTTTTTACTAATGATTGCGCGATGCTTCGAGAAGACATGGCAAATAAAAACCACACAATTATAGATGAGGAAAACAGAAAGGGTGGTCTAAATACAGTCGTTCAGTAAGGCTGGTGTATCCCAAGAAGCACAGTAGCAAGCAGCGCAAGTGCCAAATATGGCGTTCATCATGATTTTTTTTCATTCGACTTGCACCTAATCGACTTTTCCCGGTGGTAGTGCGATTAGGCCATTAGATTACGCAGGCCTGCTTTCACTTTTTCACGTACTTTATATTTTTCTTTTCTGAAAGATGCAGGTCATAGAGCTGAGAGCTTTGGGAGGGGGTATTGCATTGTGCTATAATAGCGTTTTATATTTTAAGTACTGTATGCTGTAGACGGCTCTTATTTTCAATATTGTTTAAAAAAAGCAGGACAAAACAACAACAAATATAACTCATTTCATAGTTGGGCGGCGTATTTTATAGGGCTAGTACAGTAGTGACGATTTCAGGGAAAGCATTTACTCGAATTACGCTAGTGCCGATGGCTGTGTGTGGTTTTGCACGACAGCTGTTTTACAGCAGTTTCATATTTTCTACCTCTGAGGCCATATAGGAATATATTGCGCCTGCAGTGAATGAACGGCAAGCG